TCACTAATGTTTTCTTATTTGGAAATAATAAACATTTAAGAACAAACTTAGGAAGAGATTGGTGAGTGAAGCCCACTGCTTATGTTTAGTGGCAGACGTAATTACTTAATTCTTTATTTGTGTCTCTGTAGTGAAAACTCCAGAAGATGTGGTGAACGGTTATTGGGCAGCGCTGAAAACATTTAAGAAAACACATAGTGTCACCAGAAGCTGTGAGCGTCACGATGTGGACCGCAACATCATCGCCATGACAGCAGTCATTGCTGAAGTCTACATTGCTGCCACAGAAGAAGAAGCCCGCATCCCAAAATTCTCTGGCTCCCAACTAATGTCCTAAGCTAAAGAATGCAAGGCTTTCTTTGATAATGAGCCACAGCTACAGGAAAAATAAAACAGATGAAAGCTAATGCAGAACTGCTACCTGTAGCTTACAAAGCCAAAAGGTAAATGTTAGCCAGGTATGTGGAGGATGTTCGCCCTTTTTTCCAGGGAGACTGTGTGATTATACAGCGTGTTTGCACTTCTTAGCCTTAGAGGGTGTTGTGCCCTTTTTTCCAAAAGACTGTTTGCCCTTATTTAGCTTCATAGGGTGTTTGCCCTCTTTTTCCAGGGAGGCTGTTTGACCATACAGGGTGTTTGCCCTTATTTTACTGAATGGGATGATTGCCTTTATTTTGTTATTTCCCCCTTTCTTTGTCATTATGTCCAAAAATGATGTTAATATTGGATATCTTTCTCCAAACTCCAAAGATAAAAAATGTGCTTTTTTCTGATTTACTGGTGTCCCATTTTAAATCTTCAAGGAAAGATAAAGAGGTTGTACAAAGATATGCGTGGTGTGGTTGTGAGTTTTCTCCATCAGTGAACTCATTTCTGAGCATTTTGTCAGATCTGTGCTTTATAGTAACTGTATTTTGTTAAAAGGTAACACAAAGGGAACATTATTCTGTGTAATCTCAGTACATTTACCTCATCTATTCCTGTGTAAGTACACTTGTCTATAGGTGGGCCTGTATGTAAAGTATTAGAACAACCATGAGAGATTATAATGAAGTAATTTAGTCATTGTTTCAGTGCAGTTACCCAGACTGTTTTGCAGAGCTGATGTTATTACATGATGTGAGATGTATTAAGTGGGAAAAAAGATGGAAAGAAGCATTTTTGCATTTTACAGCTCCGACACCATTTAGTTTCACTGTAATTACAGCCTGTGACATCATACTGGCCCTGACCACTTAAAGACATAACAGGTAAGAAACAAAGTAGAAACAAGAGAATTAGTATTTTACAGCACTAAAACCACATCATTTCAGCAAAACTACTGCTTTGTTTTGGGGCTAATAATAATATTATTGCCCTTTTAATTGATGGGCAATTAAAGTTTGTTACCATTATTTTTCCACTTTATTATCAACTAATTTTGAAGTTACTGACTTTAAGTACAACTTGTTACCATTATTTTACTATTTTATTACTGACCACCGCTACAATGACTCAACTTCTTATTTTTTAATGACTAACAAATGTACATGTCATTTTTAGGTAAATACAACTTGTTACAGTTATTTACTCATTTTATTATTCATTTGTTACTACTACAATTACTCATCTATTATTTCTTAACAACCAGAAAATAAGCATGTAATTTTTAGGTGAATACAACTTGTTACCTTTATTTTACCATCTTATTACAAATTTGTTATCATTATAAACACCAGCTTATTATTCCTTATGAACTGGAAAGTATGCAAGTAATATTTTGCTAAGTACAACTTGTTACCATGATTTTACCATTTTATTACTGACTTGTTACCGCTACAATTACTATTTTATTATTTCATAACAACTATGAAATTGACATTTAATTTATGGATAAATACAACTTGTTCCCATGATACTACCATAACATTACCCACTTATTAACGATCTGTAAAGTAAAGTGCTACTGTTTATTTTTTAGAAGGGGTATATAAAGTGTGGTTATTGGACACATTTAAAATAGAATTTGGATTATTAGTGTCATATTAAAATAGTCACAATAACAGAATAAAAATTGCATTCCTTAAAAAGAGGCAAGAGATTGTACTGCAGTATAAATTACATACAAATCAAAAACACACTGGGAAGCCTATCATCAGCTAATTCTGGCTCTCTAGTTGCAGAAGGATTGTTGTTAATATATGAACTGTTTGTATAATAAGTAACTCTTGTAACTCTTTTTCATCTTCAGTGACATAAAGGAAAAACAACAGTAACACATAATAGCCTCACTAGCACTGTTAACAGCCTATGTGCAACCAGTATGTTTAAAAAAATTAAAATAAACTATTAAATCAACGGCAATATTGAATCACGTTTCAGGTGCTACCAGTAAATACACAATTAGAACCTTTAAAGTAATAGAATGTTTTTGACAATCTGTCTGGCCCTGGTTTTCTGCAGATCACCACAAACCAAAACTTAATTGAGGTTCTTTGTGGCACAAGAATCACCCATGTAAGATGAAGAGGGTCCCCAGTTTTCCAAACTCCCTGGAACTGGCCCCACCTCTAAAACTCCTGGTGGTTCATGAATCATCTCTGCAACACACAACAACTTTAGAACAGTATTTACTATTGCAGATATGATGGCTGATGTACAGATTTCAGAATAAAAGACATCTTCCCTCTGGTAAATCCAGGCTTTCCCCAGTTCCCAGTTTGTACAGTATATCTTGAAGTAGGCTGTTTACAAACCTTCTCTATAAACAGGCAAAATTATATCACATTTACTGTCCTGTGTTGCATAATATTGTAATCATGATCGTACGGCAGAGTCAAGCATGTGGCTTTCTTACTTTATAGAGGGGCTCAACATCACTTACTGTTTGAAAAGAAAGAACACTGTGTACTGCAGTCGTCCACAGTGTCTACATACTGGATTACATGTACAAACTAAGTACAAGTGTCTTTAAAGTATTATGTAAAGTAGGGATGCATAAATACCATTTTTTTCCGACCGAGTACAAGTATGTGTATTTTTGTACTTGCCGATACCGATACTTACATAGAATTAAGCAATCAGGAGCATTATGTAATAGTGTAGTTATTAATGTAAAATAGTGCAATGAAACTTTTTGAAATCAACACAAAACCAACACTGAACAGTGAATTTACCTAGAATTTATTTAACATGAACTTTTTAGTTTAGATTTACCTACACAAACATTTATCACCCATGTCAACACAGAACTCATTTTTCAGTATTTTTACTGCTTTCTGTAACAAAGTCTGTAAAAGATGAACCACATTTCACCAAAAAAGGCTTATAGACCTTACATTACAAAGGCTACAACAGCAGCTTTAACAGCTAGACTAGACAATCCAGACAAAGCCTGCAGTGTTTCAGTGCTAACTGTTTCATCCCACCAGTTAATGGCTGGAGGAGATATATGATGATATTTTACACCATCACATTTGAAGCCAAATGGAGCTTAAGAGTGCCGATCTATACTATGTATAACATCATGTTTCAGAGAGCTACACTGATAAGACCATAAAGACCAGGCTGTAAAAGCCAATCTTTTTTGGAACCGTAAGTGGCAGGTTCCTCTTCAGGAAAAGAAGCATCTCTGCATGTTTAGCTGTGAGCCTGTTTCTGCTTTCAGTGACAATGTGGGCCACTGAGCTAAAGAATTGCTCACTTCCCACACTACTGCATGGGGCTGACAGGTATCTTCTTGACATTTGGGACAAAGTTGGGAATCGCACTTTGTTAACCGCCCAGTACTGGAGCGGTTTCTCTGAACGAGAAATGGTCTTCTCTCCAAGGTATGTTTCCAATTGTATGGCAGCAGCCCGTGGAACATTGAAGCATGCTCATCAGCGATTCCATCAAACACACTGTCCAGACTGCTGCACTGGTCCTTCCTTGGCCTTTTGACAGATGGTTCCTCATTCTCCTGTTGGCCTGTCTCTGCCAGATATTTTCTGCAGCTCCTGCATCACTTTCTCCTTGGCATTCTCAGCAGTGCTGGAGCTTGAGAAGAAACGGTCCTTATATCTAAAAGAGAACATAGGCTATGTTGCTGAAAATGTACATCTTATAGGTGTCCAAATAAATAGCAAAATGCATCAAACGGTGAAGAAGCAATGGTGAAGAATACAGACACACATATAGAAATATATTTTACTTTTGATTTGTATCAAGAGATCACGTTTTTAGCGAGCATGCGCGTTTATGTTAAATCTAAAAAATAAAACCCAGATAAGCGAGGAGAAAAAAAACTCAGTAATGTAAATATTTGAAAAATAATAATCTAACGAATAATAAAAGGTCAGCTTCTGATGACTACATGAAAAGCAGTAGTTATGAGAGTTTGTTGAATGTTTTGGCGACATCATCACGCACGCAGAAGCACCGACCTTAGAGGGTTGAAGTGTAGTCGAGAGAATAAAATGTAAATGAATTATAGACACAGTATAAATTAATCAATTTGTTATTTGATATTTTAGAATAGAATAGAAAACCTTATCGTTCATCTCTGGAGCTGTCCATCTTTTATTTTAGCCTTTTCCCGCATTACACCCCCAATAAATTAGCAACATGAGGTGCGCACACATTAGTTACCTTGGATCGAGAAGCGTTGCGGTGGAGAAGAGTTGGATTTGCTCCACGTCAGCAAATCGTTTCTGTACAGCTGTCAGTAAAGTGCGCTTCATTGTGTTGATCCCCGGCTCCTCATCGGCTTCTTTGGACAGCAGTCTCTGTAATACGGTGATAGCGGGAATCACATCAGAGGCTGATGCATCAGAGGAGCTCACCTGTCGAGTCAACTCTTCGAATGGCGCCAAAAGTGTCACTGCCTTCTCTAGTAGGTTCCACTGATTAAGGCTGAGGCTGTCGGGGAGCTCATGTTCTGACCCAAATATTCCGAGAGCCCGTTTTTGTTCAGTGAGGGACTGTAGCGTACAGAACGTGCTGTTCCACCGTGTTTTCACGTCTTGTTGGAGACGTTTAATGGGCTGGTTGAGCTGCAACTGAATGTCTTCCAAGCGGGAATACGACAAAGTAGAATGTTTGAAATGCCCAACAACTTTCCGTCCGACTGCCACAGCGTCAGCGACGCTCCGCTGAGCAAGCAGACCCTCGTTTACTGCCAGCTGAAGTGTGTGCAGTGCATGGAAAGCTAGGCAGTCCAGCATCATCCATCGCCTTTATCGTGTTTTTAGCATTGTCGCGCGTCACGACATGGGCAGAACTTGTAGGAATTTCCCAAGTCTTGAGCATTTCCTCAGATGTGCTTGCTGTGGCTCGGCCTGTGTGGGACCCACGGAACTGTTCTGCGTGCAGTACAGCTCGCTGGAGAATGAAACCATCGGCCATCCACTGTGCAGTTAGGCTAATGAGAGACACTGGGCAGCTGCTGCTCCAGAAGGCCGTAGTAAAGCTTAAGGCTGTAATGTCCTGCAACAAGCTCTTGATATGCTTTTGCACCGTGTCGTGCATCTTTGGTAAGACAGTTTCCGTTACATGATAACGGCTGGGGATTTCGGGCTTGGGCTCTAACACACCAAGAAGGCGCCGGAATCCCTGGTTGTCGATAATCGAAAATGGTTGATCATCAAGAACAGTATACTGGGTAGGAGCTTCTGTCATGTTCACAGGTCTAGGGTTGTGTGTAGACATTGGATCTCGTCTAGCTGGCGTTTGCTGCAGTGTTGGTTGATGGCGTGGTCTGTTAGCTGCGAACTCCTCGTGCTGAGTTTCGTGTTTCATTTTAAGATGGTTCATCAGGTGACTTGTGTTGTCGGAAGATGCAGAAGTACCTCCTCTTGATATTTTCATAGAGCACAGTTTGTAGTCTGCTTTGCTTGGGTTGCCATCACTGATTGTGAAATAATTCCAGATCGACATTTTGAGTTGTCTTCTCATTAGTAACGTAGCTGACCTGCACTCGGCACAAGGTATCGGATGTTGGTATCGGAGCCTCGTTTGCGATTACGAGTACGAGTAAATGAACACGGTATGGGGCAAATATACCCGATACCAGTATCGGTGTTCATGCATCTCTAATGTAAGTAAATGAAATACACATTTAAAACACAATAAAGAGTTCAATTAACTTGTGTTCACGTCACATTTTGTCATTTATGGTTAAAATTATGTTTCTGATGTAACAGAAAAAAAACTTCAGCAAAGAGAAGCAGAGACTCAATTTGCACATGTAGAGAACAACACAGTTTTTCTTTCAAAGTTACTGTAGCTGTTCCTGCTACCATCACTGCTTAAAGGGCCTCAAACACAAGGCGTTTATTTGCAGAAAAAGTTGAGCAATGAACAGGAATGTTATCCATGTTAATGCATTTATCACTGATACCATTTATGCATGAAAAATGTAACACAAATGGATTTGCTTTGTTTACCTCAAATTTGATTAAAATCCATTTTACTTGTAAACAACTTTATCAGCCACGTTCAAGTCCAGAAGCTTAGAGTCCACTAGACCCATCTGCAGTTAATGAGCTTAACCAAGGAAATTCACTCAAGCTTGAAGAATAGTGAAACAGCCTTAAAGCATAACTGGTGAGGACTAGCAGTGGAGCCGAGATGTATTGCTAGAAATATCCATAAAAAAAACCAACAAACAAATAAAAAAACAATATGATGAATAGCAGTCATGTAATTAAATTGTCTGTAATTAACGTCTTACCTCTACATGATGAGGTTGATCACCGGTCATCCCCATTCTTTGAAACAGTGTGCTGGTCACAACATGTCTCAGCTAAAATCATAATAATAATGATTATTTTACATGCAGTTCTGGTTTACAGCCAAGAGACAGTGTGTACATTACCTCTGTAATTGTTAGGAGTCCCCCAGTCCTGGTCATTCAGCATCTCTACAACAAAACAGTGTGCCTCATATTTAATGAGGATGGTCAGTAATGACAGTTTTGTTTTTAAATTTATGAAATAAACTTGGGGAAAGACAGTTTTTTCAAATTACTCGATGATGTAAAGACTTGTTTTATTTATTTGCTTGATTATTATACACAATAATTAAGCTAATTATTTTCTAAGCTTTGCCACAAAAACTCCTGTGGGTGTAGTTGTCTCCTCAATATACAGCGAGATTCACTTGAAAGAGGCCCTGAATATTCTGTAATAACTCTCTCTAGGACGAAGCAATCTGAATGAAACAATGTGTAATGAGCTCCTCAGTATACGAAGCTTTGAACAAGCTGAGATGCCCCTGTGTCGGAGTGATGAGGTGGGCGCCAGATAGCCATCGTAATGTTTAACCACCATTTGCAACTTCTGGGTGCAGACCCCCGTACCCCTTCATGCATCTGGCAGAAAACTGAGATCATTTCCAGCATCGCGTGTAATGCAATTAATTACACATATGACAAGGTATGTAGTAGATTTTTTGGTTCGGATTGCTTCATCTTAACGGGAGTTACAACAGAGTATTCGGGGCCTCTTTCGAGTGAATCTCCCACATTATGTTCATCTGTAACTGGGCCTCATTTTTATATCAGTTCATTAAGAATTATTAGTATGAGTATAATATACTTTTAAATGGCTTGTTTTAATAATTAATGGAAAGATGGCTCAGATAAGTCAGATAAGACAGTATTCAGCTTGATTTTCATGTTTTATATTAAAGTGACAGTGGATCACACTGACATACACTCAGTGACAAGAATAATGGAAACATCTGTTTGCCCAACAGACTTTCCCTCCATTTATAGTCTTTATGGGCTGGAACTATGTATGGCTTTTCAATATTCAAGTACATTTTGTGACGTGTCCTTAGATATGTGCAATTCTCTGTTATATTAGCATCAATTATATCTACCTGTGTAGGATATGGGGGTCTCCTGTTCCAAATTCCCTACTGCAGAGTTTTCCATGAATGCACCTGGCTGATCAGAAGCGCTCTGAAAAACAAACAGACAGATAGGGATCACATTCTATTACTTAGCAATAGTAACAAAACAACCCAGATGCACATATTAAAGGTATTTTGTCTTTACTTAACTCTTTTTAGATTCCAAGTTAGATTGGTCCAATTTCATTTTTTTTATTTTAATATTACAATGTGTAGCCAACCTAATAGAAGTATTACTTCTGTATCTGCTAATACAATACAAATTTAGTTTCTATCTAAAGAGATAAAATTACTTTTATACAATATTTAATTTCACTAAAATGTCTGCTGGTTCCTTAAAAAATGGTTCTTCAAGGGTTCTTTTGTAAATAAATAGTTCTGTATACAAACCCATTCCCAAAAATTTGGGACTTTATGCTTTAAAAGTAACTAAAAACAGAATACATTGATATGCTAATCATTAGAACCCTATATTTAATTGAAAATAGTACAAAGACAACATATTAAATGTTGAAACTAAGAAATATTATTGTTTTTTAAATATATATGTCCTTTTCAATGCTACTTTGTGGCTAATTTCCCAAAATTTGTAGCTGCTACAATTTAGCTACTTTTCCAGAAAAGTAGTGGCTACTTTTTAGCTACTTTCAAAGCACGACTGTCAGAAAGTTTGTGAATCTCCACCTGACACACCAAACAAGCCCACCTGACACACCAAACAAGCCCACCTGATAATGTGAACAAGACACTGCATTTAATGCGCCACTGAAAAGCTGCAAATATAAAGAAGATCACCAAAAAGTGAGTTTAAGTGTAACCAGCAATCAAACCAAAGTCGTGATAACCAACAAAGATTTAGACTAAGTTAAAGCAAAGTCCATCATTCTGGGTTTTTCCTAACAAAAATCAACAAAAATAACTGAAAACAAACCAAACGATTTTGTGCAAAGTATTGTGAACTGTTAAAATAAAGCTGCTCCAATGTAAACATTTCAGCAGGATCTACAGACACGACATCCAGAGTCCTTTAAACTTCAGCAACAGTTCAGCCTCAGAATCCTCATCGGTGACTCTGGCTCTGTTTGGGGTGAATCAGACCTGAATAATCTCTCCACTGCTGCAGAGCTGCTGCGCAGACGGGGCTTCGCGCGTAGTTGCGTTCAAAAATGTGTCACGACACATTGCAAGCGCGAGCTGCATTCTGAGCGTCACAGCAAGGGGCGCTATAACGACAGCCAAACCTGACCAAGTGGTCTCGCACCGCCAGCGTGCTTCTCGACCGCCACAGCACAGGAGCCACTGAGTCTCACGCAGAGGTGGCATAGAAATCTGATTAACTGTCGCATTTCCGATCCGAGAGAGGTGAAGCAGCTCGTTCTCCTCTACTGCCCACGCTCAGCTGTCGAGGCTGCTGGAACGGCAGTAGATCCTCTCTGATCTGTCCTCTATCGCCCCCTTCAGTCCTGAGTGATTTAACCTCCACATCAACGGAAGAACGCACGGTCAGTTTGTACAGAAGGACTGACCGTTTGCAGCGCGCTGACCGAGCGGTCATTCGCGTTCATGTCCTTGCGCTGAGTATGTTTCTGGCCTTAAGGTGGAACAGGACAATTTGAATGTTCAACCTTAAATGGTGCAGCAGTACGTTTAGAACTAACATCAGCGCACACTGAGACACGCTGACAGCCAGGACGGTGAACCGTGAAGCGCTGCGGCTCCTGGGGCGGTTTGTTTTTTGTTAAAAGGACAAAACGGCTCTTGCTAACATTTTGGTATTCCGACCCATCAGCTAAGCCTGCTAGGTGATCAGCGAGTGGGACCCAGTTATTTCGCTGCTTAGCTGCTCCCCATCCCTGCTTTCAACAACACTCTGTAAGCGCTGGGGAACTGAGCAGACCAGTTGCTGTGGTTCTGGAAGTGAAATATTTTCCCATTGTTGCTTTATGTAGGATTTCAGCGGCTCAATAGTTCTGGGTCTCTTTTGTTGTGTTTTTCGTTTCATAATGTGCCAAATGTTATCAGTGGTGACAGGTCTGGACTGCAGGCAGGTCACTTTAGCACCCAGACTCTTTAACTACGGAGCAGTGCTGCTGTAATATGTGCAGAATGTGGTTTGACATTGTCTCGCTGAAATAATCAAGGCCTTCCCTGAAAAAGACGTCGTCTGGATGGCAGCATATGCTGTTCCAAAACCTGAGTTTATCATTTAAAATATCCGAATGTAAAATTCTGATTCAGTGGATCACAGGACACTTTTCCATTTTGCCTCAGTCCATCTTCAGTGATCTTGGGGTCAAAGAAGGTAGCAGTGTTTCTGGATCCTGGGTTCTTCAGATTAA